ATCTTCAAAAGAAACCTAAGCCTAACCTAAACCTAATTTAAACCTAACCTAACCTAAACCTAACTTGAACCTAACCTAAACCAGAGGGTGAAACTTTACCATTTTCGTTGTCGTTGGTTGCCCCCAAATCTTGCTTCCCGTTGTAGAGCGTCATCAGTTTTGAAATTCATTCATTCTGAAGGAAGGAAGGATTCTGTACTAACCGTGATAGATTGGACAACGATTTGGGCGAAATCTTCCTCCGACGTTGAGAGAAACGACAACGCGCGTGAAGGGGAAAAAAATGGGGCTAGATAGCTAGGAGGGAGGTTAGACGGGGAGACGGGGTCGGTCGGGAAAGTGTAATTTCAGTTTGAAACAGGAACGGGAGAGGCCGACCCACATCGAGGCTTCGAGTGTTTGTATTGCTGACGCGGCGATCCAATCCAATCCAATACCCATGGCGGATACACAGGCAACACACAGCGCATATACTACCTACGTATGAATGTATCTCCCTCCCCCGCTCTTTCCTCCACCCCTCTCCGCTTTCCCAGTAGAATTTCGCGGGGGGGACAGAGCGGGCGGAGCTTTCATTTTGTAATTAATTGTCCGCCATTTTCCAACCATCGGAAAATCATTTTTTCCCACCGCGACTTTCCAATTAAACCGCCGTGGCCATGCACGGATCCACCCTTTGTCCCTGGCACGGGAGAACAACACCGTAGATTTGTATTATTTTCAAGTTGCAGGAGGAAGGCCTTTAAATAATTATAACCGAAGGTGAAGCTTCAGTGTCGAGAGAAAGAAACTTTTGCGCACGAAGGAGAGCTGCAAGCAGAGAAATTAATATCCGTAACGAAATTCGAAGCGTAGATCCGTCTAATTAAATACCTGAGCGTGGCGAACGATCGCCGCGACCCTCGGCAGAGATGGGGTTGAAGCGGTCAGCCGTGGGGGCCGCGTGCGTGCGTGCGAGTCGGCTGCTATTATCATAAACGCAACAATAACGAGGGATGATCCGACGTGTAAACTGTTAAACCCTCCTCCCCCTTTTTTTCGGCGAGGGTGAGGATTACCGTGGGGGCCCATCGAACCACCACCGGGTTCCCGGGGCTGGAATCCACGGGGGATGTTATTGTTGCCACAGAGAGACAGACAGAGAGAGAGAGAGAGAGAGCAGTTGTCGAGCTGCTGGAAATAGAGACAGTGTGTAACTGTTAGGCTAGAAATCTACCGGACCACCCCTTCTCTCCTCCCTCATTCAACCCTCGATAATATTGGCGGTGTTTGCCGCCTCCTATTACGAGCTCGATTGAACCGAACTATACGATTATTATGCGTCACTGATAGTCTCTCTAGATTCGATAAGGTCCTGGATACCTACGAGCAGAAAGGAAATCTTTGTTGACTTAACATTTGAAAATGATAATTTCTTAACAGTAAAAATATTATCCAGATAAGATGTAAGATAATTTGTATAAACTTACTGTCCTCTTTCTTTCACACATCAAATTCTAGAGATCAATGTTATTTCTAGAAACAAGTATTTTTAGATACAAATTCCTAAGTACATACACCGATCCTTAACGGATGTCTTGCATCTTCTTCAATTACATTAATTGTCAAGTATAATGATGCTGAAAGTCTCGCGACAGCAAAGATGTGTCGAGATGAAGTAAGACAAACGTTTGATCAGAGAGGACAACGAATAGTTATATATAGTAGCTTATGTATAGTAGCTTATATATAGTAGCTATATATAGTCGGTTGTACAAAAAGGAATTAGACACGTGAAACAGTTGGAGGTGATGAGCGAGTGACGAATTATCAAGGAAAGTCCTAGTTCCTTTCTTCCATCACATCTCAATTAACATCCGAATAGATTTAATACAAATTAGACAATACAATTGGACGAAGATTCTGGGAGACGGTTGAACAACGTCTCGGTTCCATCACAGACGTCCGTTTCGAATATAGTCTTTAAACCAGAACAAGTGGTTCGATGGTCCCTCGGTGAAATGCATTCATAGCCAGACAACGAATGACGCTCGCACGTGGAATACATGAATACGAAATTCTTGAACTTCATTACCGGAACGTTCGCCAAGTCGTGAACCACGGCTCCGATAGTACTTGCATCGACCATGGGTCTGTACACAGTGAACCGAGTTTTATCGGCGGCGCGCAGCTCCTCCTGCGGGGGTAGCTTATAATCAATTCAATTAAAATTGATTTCCACTCGTCACGATACATCAAACAAAACGTTGGTTTCCCTTCCCCCCCTCTCTCTCTTTTTTTCAATGCTCTCTTATTTCGTACTTCCCCCTTGACTACCGTAAAAGGCATGATCTCGTGATTCGAAACCGAGTTATAAATATTCAACGGCGAGAGTCAAAGACAGGGGGGGG